GGTCCTCGAGGTCACCTGCAACACCACCGCGACTGCGCTGCTGAGCCCGTTCTCGCCCGCGAACCAGTCCGGAGTGGACCCGGGGGCGCACCTCTGCGGCTCGTCGCCCGGGGCTGTCAGCAACAGCGGCGGGGCTATGCGGCGGCCTCTGACGTCCGTGTCGGCGGCAGCCGCGAGCCGCCCGAGCTCCTTTGTGGACCATACCCCTCTTACCGTCTCGGCTGCCGAGCCGGGTGCCGATGTAGCGAATGGTATGACCCGAGTCGACCTCCCGACGTCCTCCTCAGGGATGTGCTCCGTGAGTGCGCTTCTCAGTCAACTTATCTACGGTGGGTTGAAGGGTGCGATGTCCCCGCATAACATCGTCTTTGACCAAACTACCCTGAGCAACCCTTTCTATGGTGGATGGTTGAAGGTTGAGAGCTCAGATGCGTTTCGGCGCATTACGCAGCTGTTTGAGGTCCCTTCGTGGCCAGCAGTTTTGCTTCTGGATCCTGACGGGCGATTGGTAACGGTGAGAGCACTGAAACACATTGAGGCGGAGCTGGAGGCATTTCATCAAGAGATTTTGAATCATCCAAGAGTTCCTCCCTTTATTCAGCTGGGGCAGGCGGATTCAGGCGCCAGCGGGTCTGCACTCAGTCCGCAGGTTTCCAGAGAGTTATCCCCATCACCCCAGCGGCAGGAGCTGTTATTTAAGAGTAACGCGCCTGAGGAGATGCCTTTGCAAATGGTCAGCACCGTCGCAAAGCAATGGGATGACAGCACGCCATTAAAAGGGCACTCACCTTGCAGAACACCCGCCTCCCCAGACGTGAGCAAAGTCAGTGCAGGAGTGAATCGGACCGAATCCCAGATCTTTCACGCTTCTGTTACTAATCTTTCACCTTCGCATAGCATCCACAGCGTTACTACTTCAGTGTCCAACGAGGTGAATACCACGCCTGCTTTCTACTTAAAGGACCCTAAAATTCCGACAGCTCTGCCGACACCACTCAAAAGCACCCAGAAGCTGTGCAGCCCGACCAGTGAGTCCGCCAGGCGATACGAGAACAATGACTACGTGCTGAAATATCCTTCCCAACCTTCCTTCAGCGAGAAGTGTGATCAATCACAGAAGTCCGATTCCGGTGCCCCTGACGACCTTGTAGTGGAATCTACAGATAATACTAGCACCTCCACCAAAGTTGGCATTTGCGGGCCACTATTTCCCCCGAAAGATAGCAATCAGCAAAGACACTCCCCTCAGCTCTCCGTTGATTTTCAAATCGACTGCCACGAAACCAGTCGCTTCCAAATGGCTCCTCTGCTCTGCAGTGACTCTCAGGTGAAGGAGGAATTTTTGCCAGGCGACCCCAGGTACATCGCGCCGGGGTCAGCTCCCAAGCACTATTTAACGGAGCAGTCTTTACTGGCCCCGATTCCATTAGGGTCACTTTCCACTTCCCCTCTACCGAGGCTGTGTGGCTTCTGCAGCGCGTTTCCGTGGGATCTTTCCTTTATCGTAAATAATATGCCCGCTGTCATGGCGATGAACTCTCAGCAAGCACAATCACCAAACACCTGCGTCCTGAAAATGCTCCCGACGGAGGTAGAAAAGTATGCGATGCCACACCTCAACGTCGAGGAGGCCTTGCCCACTGGAAAGTCATTGAGCGTCTCGTGCATGACAAGATCAGATCACTCCGAGATGCAACGGCAGCCTGCCACCTCGGGTGAGGTTTCTGATTTGACAGTTGCCTCTGCAAACGTTGAGGCCCATCATTCTTCGATATCGGAGAAGATTTCCCCACATAAAAAGGGCAGCCCCAGGACTGTGGTTGCAGTCGAGCATAATGTATCTGACGGGCTGACACCCTGCGCCTCACCGCGTTATTATCAGGGATTATTCTTCTCCCACCTCGTTCAACACGCGACGCGTGTGGAGGAGTTAATCCGTCTTACCGAAAACATCCGTGAGGACGATATTCCGCGCTACACGCAATTGCCATCACCAGATCTAGGAGATTTATTCAAGAAGCCTGAGTTTCAGGGAGCCAAGACCCTCAACCGCACCGATGATATTTCAAAAACCCTCGCCGTCGAGGGGTCCGACGCGCAACCCAACGAGCGAGTTGAGCAGGCGGCGTATTTGATTCTGCTTTTCGGGGCGGGGTGGCATCCTGACATGAGACGGACCGTCGAGGCACTGAAGCAGCTGGTGATGAGTTTTGAGCAAGATAAACACGCAATCAATCGTGAGGAAGCGGCCCGCAAGTGCTCGATGTCCATCGCGGATACGACGTCGGACTTGCACAGTGATGAGAGTGAAGCTTCCAAGCGCGTTTTGGGGGAGGTGGGGGGTGGAATCATGAGCAGCGGTCTGAACCCGGCCATGTTCGACCCTCACAACATCAGCAATCTCGACGAGCGGCAGCGCCTCGCCTCATATGCCGATAGTAGTCCGAATACCCTACCGAACGAAGCCCGCGATCCGTGCTTTACACCCGATTATGTTTCCAATAGCGTCTCGAACTCCTTTGGGGTTCTCCACTACCCGTTTGGTGGGGGGTCTATGAATCCAAACGCTGGGGATCTGGAGAAGGGTCTCGACTACAGGGCCGCTTTTCGGACGTCGACGAAGCGCGCTCGACGGCAGGGTGGGGTACCCGGCATTCAGGTTCTCTATCTTAGCGCCGACGAATCCATCGATGGGCTATGCGAAACGCTTGCTCAAATGCCGCCGAATTGGTTTTGCATTTCACCACTTATGAAACTGCGCGGCGACGATTCGAGCCGTGTTCTGATGGAGCTCGCCATCGAACGGTTTCAGGTCAATTGCTTTCCGCGTTTGGTGGTGCTCGCGGCGGATAAACCGTCAGTCTCTCTTCTCGATCGCGAGCCGTTGGATTCCGATCCCAATCAGACGGATGGAACGCAGGAGAGCAGCCATGAAAAGCGGCCACCGCACGGTTCGGTGTATGGAACCATTGATTCAACCCCGCGCGATCACACCTGGGTGGTTGTGCAGAAACGCGGCGAGGTGAAACTTTTCGGGGATCCGGAGGGGGTGGAGTTTCCATGGCCCGACGGAACCCTTTCCGGGGTTTCAGACCGGCCTCCGAATGCCGCCCCTGGCGTTTCCTATGACGCCCTGGATGGTGGAGGGGGGAAGAGTTCGCTTCAGCTCGACGCCTCGGCGGATCACCGGACGGACAACCTCACGAGCAGCAGCAGCGACGACGGCGAGCACGCGGAGAGCAACAAACCTAGCGACGGCAGCTGCCGGGATCCGCGTTTCTTCGTCCAGGTCGCCGATATCACGGAAATGGCGATCCAAAAAGCCTACTTTCCCCCGCTACGCCGCTTCAGCAGCAGCACGATGGAGCTTCCGATCTTGCTGGAAAAAGGTGGGTTTTTTGTGGTGTTGGGCGCCCTCGGGCCCGTCGACGCCGCGATCCATCGTCGGTACCTGCGGCGACTCCGCAAGACGCGCGAATGGCTTTACGTCGCGATCGAGAAGCGAAAGGAGGAGTTGTGGGCGGCCCAGTCGCGTGCCCACCCCGCGGGCGAACCCCCTGCTCGCCTTTCCACCTCCCAGTCCTTCCCGTACACCCCCTGCACGAGCCCGTTGCTGCACACGACGTCGATGGAGGTGGGCGAGAAGGCACCCGGGGAGGGCGGCGGAGGAGGAGGGGGAGGAGGAGGGGGAAATGCCTCGCCTGCGTTCACCACCGCCCTTTCCCCGAACCTCCCCTCCAGCGGGACGACGCCGAACCCCCCTCTTCGAGGCGGCGGCGGCGGGGTCGGCCTCGCCGCGGTCGAACCCCCCCCCGAGCCCACCCGCTCGCCGATTCTCCTGAGTGTGTATTTTTACGACGCGGTTTTCACGTTGACGGGGTCGGCCCGGGGCAGCGTGGGGTCCGTGGCGAACGTCTCCCACGACAGCCTGCCGAAACCCCCAAGGCGATCCGACAGCCCGGGTGGGCGGGGTGGGGCTGGGGAGCCCCCGGCGGCGTCCGACCCCCGCGATCGCGCGCTCTTCCAAGAATACATCCTCGCCCCGATTATCGAGCAGGACGAACGGCAGTTACCCCCGCTGGAAGGGGAGTTCTTCCTTGCGTGTGTTCGGCTGCCGCATCGGACGACCGCGGTGCTGCGGCGGCGGGCTCCCCGTGGAGCCGCCGCCCGGACGGGGCGGGGGGGGGACCCAACGAGCGCGCTCCCCCGACGGCGAGT